CCTGCTGGGGCTGCTTGCCCGTGTGATCACCGTGGCGACCAACGCGGAGTTGGCCGATCGGCGGCGATCTTTTATGTTCTTTTTCTCCTTTTGCGTGGAGGGGCCCTTGTCCTGATCCTAGCGCTTGGCCTTGCCTTTGCCTCGGCCTCCGTTGGAGCGTAGTGGGAGCAACACTTGCTGGAGGTGTTGGACAAAGGTCCGTGGTCCCGGGCCATCAGGGCTGGGACTCCGGTCGCTGCTGCGTGTCTTGGTTTGGCCCGAGCCGCGCGTATACAGGCAGTCGGTGCGGAGCGGTCGTCAAGTTAAGACGAGGTGCCGATGTGGCCTCTTGTGCCGCGCTCGGCGGTTGTAGCAGTGAGCGGGCGGAGCGACTCGTTTGCTGCGACTCCATTCCCCTGGTAGGGAGCGAGGCCGCGAGTCGGTGTCGCGATACGGAGCTCTCTGCTTGTTGAACGGCGACGGTCTCCACTAGTGCCTGGAGGTTCCGGTGGATCGCCTGTTCCTGAGGGTCGTTCGGCTCGGGAAGGCCACGCAGAAGCATTGTCGTAGCGGCGATATTCTGATTGGCCTAAGCGAACTGTGGGCGATCGTTCCCCCTGTCCATGGTGTTGCGCTGGACCCGACGGGCGCGACCCCGGGCGCCGCTCGCCGGTCTATGCGCGCGGGGCGCAGTGTGGTGCGCCGAGCGCGTAGGCGTAGTCGGTGGCTGATGCAGCCACTCTTGTCGTAGTTCCTCGCCGTGCTCCCGTGGCATCTCGGTGGTCTTCGCATGAGGGTTCGGAGGGGTGTGAGTCTGTAAGGACTCCGATACCACCGGTGGCTGTCTCGGAGCGTCCGCCATAGCGCACTCCTAGGACGGACGGTGGCTAGGCGCCACGTCGCCGATGCTAGAGCTGTCACTCTCAACATCGTGATCCATGAGGTCAAGGAAACAAGTGGGAGCATAGCTCGTCATCCCCACAAATTCGGATGTGAGAGGGGGTGACACCGGCTTCCTTTGGAGCCCCCGGGCATACGCGTCTGTGGGAGACGTGAGGCCGTAGGGGAACTGGTCATATGGCGGTCGCGGTGGGGACAACGGGATCCCTCCGGATAATCGGCGAAAGATAGAGGATAGTAAGTAAATAACAACATGTGCATTACTCACAGCGGGGTTTGAGCAGAGAGTTTGCTCGTAATGAAGCACAGAGGCCTCGTTGTTGAAGTCGTCGTGCACCCCGGAGCCGATGGAGGGCGCCCCTCCGATGGGTGCTAGAACGAGAGCCTCCTCGCGGAGGTGTAGTATGCCGAGCTGGTCGGCGACAAAGTCCAGGCTTCCAAAGAGGAAGGCCTAGGGTAGCTCGAAGACGGGTGGAACCCGCATCCCAACCGGTGGGAGAGCGGGAAACTCCAGTGAGCCAAAGCGAGTCATATCGCCTGAGTCCGCCATGGCGAAGGTGGCGGAAAAGTGGGCCATCCGATGACCAAAAAGTGTTGAACGTACGACGTCTTCCCCACGGATGGCGCCAACTGTCGGTGCAGAAAGTGATCAACAAGTAAATATTTGTAGTTTTGCCGTACGTTGTGATCGAAGGTGGCCTAGCACTCAATAACATAGGGTTTATACTGGTTCAGGCAACGTGCCATACGTCCAGTTTGAGTCGGTCGGTGACTTTATTCCTGAGCCCAGGTGCTCGAAGTTTGCAGTGGGGTTACAAACGAGAAGGAGAAAGATTGGAGTACAAAAGGTCCAATTGGCTCCGGTCGGAAGGGCCGAGAGCGACAGGAACTCAGCTATGGACTAAGTGTTCAAGCGTGTGCTTAAGGTCCGAACCTGGCGGTTTCTGTGGTTGTGAACTAGTGAACTTGATCAATCTAATGAATCTGGAAGCACTTGAATCGACTTGGATTTACTTTAATGTTGGGAGAGTGCGCATCCCCTTTTATAGATGAAGGGGATGACCTTACAAGTGAGAGGAAGAGAGTACATATGCTTCTAAGCCTTGTTGCCCACGCGGCGGGTACAGGATGATGGTAGGCGCCCACAACACTGTTGGATGTTGAATGCACGTGGGAGGTTACGTCGTCTTGTTCGGGTATGGCAGATGTCGGTACCTGCTATACTGTTGATGTCCAGAGGCATGTGAGGGGTTTCGCCTTGTTCACCTGGTATGCCGGCGCCCACAACCCTGTCGATGCCCAGAGGCATGTGGGGAAGCCTTATCGTATGGGAGTTAATAGCGCCCACAATACTGTCGGGAAAAAGTCAGCGCCTACAATACTATAGGGAAAACGGGTGCCTCTCCTCCTCGGCCGGACCTTCCGGTCGGTGATTGGATCGCCCTGCTGGCCTGTTTGTTCAGATACTTGAGCTGGCCCATGAGTTGCGTTTGTTTGCCTGGGCCGAGCCTTTGTTGGGAAGCCGGTCCACGAGGGAGCCCGGGTTTATGAATGGACACCATCTATTGCTTGGATTAACCTTTGGCATCTGTACTGATTAGAAAGGAGGGAGTAATTTGGATGCATTTTGAGAGAAAGAATGAACAGATTGCTTAATTCTTTTTTGGTGAGGGTTCAGACTGCTTATTTAGGACCATTATTATAGTTGTTTGCTTTTTCAGTTTGCTTAATAATTTATTCGGATATCATATTGCAAGATTTTAGTGTCAACTGATACTGACATCTAATACATGGTAGTCCTTTGTCTTTACTTGCTACAAGAAACTGATTCTCGAGGACAATACACCAGCGGTCACAAGCATGCCCTACTATGATTCTTGAGGCTGTTGCTACACATGATCTTTGGATATGGCATAGTTACTTTGGTGTTGCTGGTGTTAATAATGACATAAGTGTACTGAACCACTCACCTTTGTTCTAATAAGCATTGAAAGATGAAGCACCTCAAGTGTATTTTTCTGTCAATGGAAAACAATATAATAATAGTTACTATCTCACTGACGGAATATATCAACAGTGAACTGCTTTTGTGAGATCGATAGCAGCCTCCAAAGTGACAAGGACACAGTTTATGCACAAGCGCAAGAAAGTGCAAGGAAAGATATTGAGCATGCATTTAGGGGTGTTGCAATCTCGATTTAACATTGTTGATCATCCAACACGTAAGTGGAAAAGGGTAGATGGTCAAATCATGCAAGTTTGTATTATTCTTCACAATATGATTATTGAAGACCAAAGACAGCCATGTGCAATGTCTTTTGATTTAAATTCAACTCCAGGATTATCATATGCTCTACCACCAGCAGTCCGTATAGGGAACAACAAGTGTTTTTCTAGAGTACTACAAAGAAATGCTGCAATCCGTGATCGAGAGACACATACCCAACTTAGGAATAATTTAGTTGAACATATATGGCATCGTCGTCTTCAGAATAGGCACAATAGCTGAACTTTGAATTATGTGATCTTTTAGTGCTTTGCAATAAATACCGTCCCATTTGATTGGCTCCATTTGGCTTACCTTATATCCGGCTTATTCGATTTCTTTTTTTAGTCGGAACAGTATTTTTCTCTCACAATATTTCAGTTAGAACAGTGTTTTTTAGCCACTTTCAGTTAAGTTTCAGCCAGCTGAACGGAGCCATTGCATAATTTGCACAGTTATATCAGATTTGTAATGAATAGCATATTTTATATTCCTGTGGTAATGTCTATACGACTCGATGACATAAATAAGCTACATAGTTATGATTGTATATGATCCTATTATTCATTTGGTCCATGCATAATTTTAGAAAATATATGTTACTACCGGACAACTTAAAAGTCGAGTCGACCCATTGTATAGCTTGTCTGTTGGATCGTCTCAAGATTACGTGATCATTTATGAGACCATCTATTTGACAGCACCAATGTACCTGCCCTAAACAGGAGCCGCAGCGAGTGCAATTAAGGCTCTGTTTAGTTCCAAAAATTTTTGCTCAAAGTATTACATCGAATATTATGATACATATATAGAATATTAAATGTAGACGGAAAACAAAACTAATTGTACAGTTGGATAAAAAATTACGAGACAAAACTTTCGAATCTAATTAGTCCATAATTAGATACTAATTACCAAATACAAACGAAAGTGCTACAATAGCCAAAAAAAACAAAAATCACCAACTAAACGCGCCCTAAGCAAAAACTAGCGTGCCCTGTTTGATTGATGGTTTTTTTTTGTGCCTGGTAAGCCGGCTGCCTGCAGCCTGAGACCGGAGAGAGAGAGAGAGAGAGAGAGAGAGGGAAATGACAATGGGCAATGGCCATGAAGGAGGACTGGTGGAGGAGAGGTGGTGGTGGTGGCAGGCCGGTAGGCCATAGTGCAGGTGTGGGAGGGGGTGAAACATGGCCCTGTCGGTGGGCATGGGCTTCTCCTCCCTCACCACCCGCAAGTCACTCTCACCATTGCCTTGTGCCATTGTGTGGGGGAGTGGTAGACTAGCTAGACTCGTTCAAACACACAAGCCAAGCCAAGGCAAGGCTAGCCTGCCTAGCTACTCTCTCGGTTTCTCTCCCATAGTCCCATACAGTGTCACTTCCTCCTCCCCCTCTCCCTTCTTCCTCCTTGGTCTCGGTCCTTTCCAAGGGGTGCATGCATAGATGGATGATGGATAGAAAAGATGGATATGTTTTTTTCCTCTAGCTACCTTCTCTATCTCTCTCACGGAAACATTCCCCACTTTGTGCCAAAACTGTTATTGCCATTGCTATGGTTAAGTGTATTTTTATCACTCCCTTGTAATCTAGCTTAGCTTTACCAAGCAATATAATCCCCACCACCATCTTCTCCTTCCCCCTCGAGGCCAACACCATCCTCCTCCCCCCTATTTCTTCCCCAAAACCTACATACAAGTAGCGCACACAGCGACAACACCAACACAGCCTCGCAAGAGAAAGCAAAGCAAAGCAAAGCTAGGAGGGAAAGAAAGAAATCCTTTTCCCTAGCTCTAAAGAGACCACCAAACCCTGCGAGCTCTAGCTCGGCCTCCCTGCCTAGCTCGGTAGCCGAAGCCATGGAGTACAAGAGATCATCGCATGTGGAGGAGGAAGACGAGGAGGATGAGGAGGAAGAAGAAGACGAGGAGGAGGAGGAGGAGGAGGAGGAGGCCAGAGGCCATCGCTACACCACAGTGGCGGCAGCACCCGTAGGCGCTCCACAGCAGCAGCAGCAGGTGCACGCCCAAGCTCTTGGCCTCGGCTCGCACCCCTCCCTGATGGATTCTGCCGCCTTCTCGAGGCCGCTCTTGCCTCCCAACTCATCTCTGGTGACGCAGCCACCGCTGCCTCCACCGGGCTTCCTGCCGGCTCACCGCCAGCCGCCGCAGCTCCATCCGAGGAAAGCGGAGAGGGAGAGGGACAGAGCCGCGGGAGCGCAGCAGCCCCAGGTCCGGCGCCACCAAGAACCAGCGAGGAATGGCGTTCTCGGCGGTGGCGCCGCGCCCGCATCGGCGGCCTCTACGCTCAGCCTCGCGCCCGTGGGGCCGGTGGTGGAGGCGGCCCAGTGGAGGTACCGGGAGTGCCTGCGGAACCACGCGGCGCGGCTTGGCGCGCACGTGCTCGACGGCTGCTGCGAGTTCATGCCGTCCGGGACCGACGGGGCCGCCGCGCTGGCCTGCGCCGCCTGCGGCTGCCACCGCAGCTTCCACCGACGCGAGGCGATCCCCGGTAGCGTCGCGGCCGCGGTGGCGGTATCGCCCTCGCCGGTGATCCCCACCGCCGGCGCCAGCGCCAACTCCTCCCGTGTCATGCCGCTGCTCCTGGCCCCGCCGCACATGCATACGCGCCCGCCGCACGTCCCGGTGTCCCCGGCGTCCGCGCCCGCCGCGCTGACTGAGTCGTCGAGCGAGGAGCTGCGCGGCCCCGCGCCCGCGCACCCGGCCGCGCCGACGACGCACCCGTCCCACGCGCAGGTGGCCGTAGCGGGCTCGGCCTCCGCTCCCCCGGCGCCGAGCCAGAAGCGTTTCCGGACCAAGTTCACGGCGGAGCAGAAGGACCGCATGCGCGAGTTCGCGCACCGCGTCGGGTGGCGCATCCACAAGCCCGACTCCGACGCCGTGGACGCCTTCTGCGCCCAGGTGGGCGTCTCCCGGCGCGTCCTCAAGGTGTGGATGCACAACAACAAGCACCTCGCCAAGATCCCGCCCTCGCCCCCATCCTCCCACCAGCCGCCGCCGCCGCAGCCTCACCACCACGACCACCACCCACCTCCACCTCCGCACCACATCCACCATCACCACCCGCCGCCGCCGCCGCAGCAGCAGCAGCAGCATGATGCATGAGTGAGTACCAAGTAGCCGCAGAGCAATGCGAGAGGATCAGACGATGCCATTAGCTTATTAGCTCCGTTATTTATCCTTCTTCTTCCCTTGTAATTTCAGTGACATCCCGGTTGTTGAGAAGTTGACTCATCATGCAGCAGGTAGGAGGGATTAATATGATTATGTGACCTTATCTCATCTCAGCCATACTTCTACTTCCAGTCTTCCCGTCGTCCTCGTTGCTTTCTCCATTATCAGGTTATTAGCGTCAATGGCGCTTGCATTGATATCCATTACACTTCTTTCTTATGGTAATGACCTAATAATGTTCACTGTGTTAGTTTTAGGGCTTTCTCTCTCCCTCGTCCTCTTTCTCTGTCTCTCATTGGAATTGTTTGGTTGGTGAATTTTTTTTCGGAAAGAGTACGGAAGCACTTTCGTCCAAATCATTATCTTAGTCTTTCTCGTCCTCGTCTTGCAAAATTTTGGTCACAGAGATTAGTGCATGCTCAACTGTGTTTGGATGTGTGCAGTGTCGTACCAGTGCTGCTGCAACCCTGCATTGCCATTGCATTTCTTGATGCAATGCTCTCTTGGGCGCCTCCTCCTTTTGACCTTGCTTTTTGGGCTTGTTGGATTCCTTTTGGTAGGGCAGCCGCTCCGGAGTCCAGAGCATTGTGCCGTGCTCTGTGTGTTGCATTGGCATTGCATGCATTGGGGTTTGGTTTTTGGTTGGGTTTGGTGAGGGGGCCCTTTTGCTGGGAGGGGAATGTACTTAGGCACGGGGCTTTGTCATTTGGTGTGCAAAGTACCATTAGGAGGGGTCATTAAAGCAGGGTTCCTGGCTTCTAAGCCTATCTCCCAGCAGTTGCTTTCTGTCCTCTCCTGAGGGGGTGTGTGTGTCCTCTTCTGCTAGTTCGCAGCCGAAACCCCTTTCTTAAGGGCTTTTGCAGCCTTTTTTGAGCGGCAATTTTGCTTGAGCTGCTTCTACATCTACTGGCCTTCTGCCAAAGCTCTAGTGCTGGTACAGTAGTGACTAGCGAGTGTAGCACTGAGAGTAGAGTTTTTTTTTTTTTGCCCATCACTGCCTTTGGCCACAACCACGAGTACTGTAGCTGGAATTGGGTGGCCGGGGGTGGGGGCTTTCGGCCAGAAGGCAGGTGTGAGTGCCATGTGAGTGTGAACTGCTGTGTCAGGAACTCAAAAGAGAGAAAAGGAGCCCTGTGTTGTATTAGAGTGTATGCTGGATTCATGGATTATGGGTATGCAGCAGGGCGAATGATGATTGTGAATTGTCGGCAGCTGGAGGCTTGGATCGGAGCCATCCAAACATTGTTGTGTCTGATGTTTTAAGAGAAAAAGGTGTGTTGTTGCCTTGTTGGTAACGACGTCTCATCTCATTTAGTCGTTTTATGTCACCAGCACAAGCATAACAACAGCTACAAAATGATAGGGCAATTTGTAGGAAGAGTATGATAGAGTTAAAGCAGGATCTCTAGGCATAAATGTAGCATGTCTACTTGCACTTTGAAATAAACTGAGTCCTTGAGTCCTAGAGTTAATAAATAGAGTGAGGAAGAGAGGGATGAAGGGGGTGCAAACCATCGGCCGCCTTAGAGGAAGATGGGCTTGCATCGCGGTGCTTGGTGAAGTCTTGGTGGCGGTGCTGTGTCGAAGGACGACGGTGCAGTGGTGGCGTTGGTCGGTGGCGGTGCTTACATCATTCAAATTCTCAGTATTTACATCATTCACATTATCAGAAAGTGATAATAAATAAAGCTTGTCTTATCAGAAGGCAAGACTAACACATTTATTATTATAAACAATATAATATTTGCCATTACCAAAATGGCAATCATATCCATCGTCATCTAAACATGAAATACTTATTAAGTTTCTTCGCAGAGAGGGTACAAATAGAACATCTGAAAGCTTAAGTAGAAAGCCATCAACTAATTCTAGATAAAGTTCTCCAATGGCTTCAACTTAGCTTCAACTCTATTTGTTACTTTAATTCTTCTTTCTCCTCTTTGCAGGGTCCTCCTCGTATGGAATCCATGTAATGAATTTGTAACATGAACAGTTGCATATGAATCAATCCACCAAGTAGATTTTGCATAATTTAAATACATGGATTCATCTATGAATGTAATGAAATTCTCACCTCTCTTCAGAAGGTTCTTCAGGAAGTCTGGACAGTCCCTCTGGTAGTGTCCATGCTTTTTGCACCATTTGCACTGATCATTTTCAACTTGAGCATTGTTGTTCTTCTGATGGTGCTCAGTCTGAGGGGCTTTCCCTTGATGTTTGGCATTCTTATTGAAGTTCTTTTTTGTCCTTCACAAGGTTAGCAGAGTCAACCCTGTAAGGACTTTAGTCTTTTCTCTTCTTGAACACACATTGCGATGAGCTTCTCTACGTTTCACTTATTGGGCTGCATATTGTAGTTAACAACAAAGGTTTCATATTTATTTGGCAAGTAAGCAAAAACCAAATGAATCAGGAACTCATCCTTGAGCTCCAAATCCATTGGCTTCAGCTTCAAAGCCGTGTTGCCCATCTTTAAAATGTGCTCTCTAATACCGCCACCAATATATTTTTCATTGAACAATTTCTTGATCAATGTACTAGAATAAGCCTTTGAGGAGCTAGTGAACTGACTCTCCACCTTCTTTAGGTACTATGTGGCGTGTATCATAGTCTGGGATAGACCCCCTTATAGCATCTGAAATAGTGGACTTGGCCACCATCAAGCACTTGTGGTTTGAGATGTCCCACTTCTTCCGATCAAGATTGTATTTCATTCTAACTTCCGCATGATCTCGCTGCCGAGCAATGAAATCAGCACCAGTCTCGTTTTTTGCTCTCACCGGGTCCACTGGCTCAGTAGGACACGGGGAGGTGAGCGCTAAGTCATTCTCGAGACAGCGCAAGTGCAAGCTCATACTTCTCTCGTCATACTCTGTAATTTCTCCCTTTTAGAGGTGGTATGTGCAAGATGAATGCCATTGGGTTGAGTCCTGAAAAACACCGCTAGAGATAGTGAGAAAATATAACATTATAATTGCATGCTTTAATTTAACATTGGTCAAAATTAAAACATACAATATTCTTATACACTAATTCTACATCATCATTGGACAGAAATAGAATTAATGCATGAAAAACTTATAATTAAACATTATAATATTGCTATTATCAACGTTGGTCAGAAAAATAACAATATTATAATTTACTGATTAAAATTGTCTAATCTTGAAATTAAATTCTCCCGTTGTTTCGAATTTAATTAGAAGATTATAAACTTTAACATTGCAGCGGAAACATAAATAAATAATAATTATCTACTTTTCAGAAGCATTTTTTTTCATATCTACTTTCTGAAAAAGTAACATGTTGGTGTAATTTTACCAGAAATTTTAAACCTTCGAAATTCATCAAAATTCATTCAAATCTGCTTCTGAAAATTAAATAAACTTCAAATCATTTCTTGTTGTTCATTCTCGGCCTACCAAAAGAATAAAGAAACGGCCCAATGAAATGACGATTACTTGGCGACTGCGCAGCTGGCTTCTTCTTGTGCCAAGGCAATGCACCTCCCCGCGCCCTAGGCTCGCAACTTGGGCTGGGCGGCATAAAGTCGCCATTGCCACGCTTCGCCCGGGGCGATTTCGATCCAATGAATGGCAACCGTTCATCCAGATCCATGGCCGGCCGTCGTCATCGAGAGATCAAACCCCCCGGCCGGCCGTACCCCAAACCCTAAGTTCATTCTTCTCCTTCCCTTTCCTCTCTCTCAGCGCAACGAGCAACAGCGGCAACCGAACGAAGGGAGAGACCATGGCACCGTTGCTGGCCCCCTCGGTGGCGCGTGCGCTCTCCACGCGGGTGAGCGCGCCGCCGTCGAGCGGACTAGCGGCGTCGCCCTTGGTCGGAGCTCGCACAAGACCGACGAGTAGCTACCCCGCTCGGCCTTCTTCTCGCGCACCGACGAGGCGGCAGCGCGGTGCACGGCGAGGTAGGCCTCTTCCCCCTTTCCCCTTCTTCTTCTCCGCTTGGATCTAGCTTCGTTCTTCTCGGATTTGTCTGATTAGGGTTTGGTTAGGGTTAGGGTTTTGCTCACTGTTCTTCTTCCCCGAGTCTGATTCGCGGGTTAGGGTTCAGCTTTGAGTTGCTTTTCAAAAACCGAGGCCCTTCTTCACTTCTTTTCTTCCCCGATTTTGGGTTTAGGGTTTGATGAACCCTCTGTTTAGATCTAAAAACGAATATATCACCTCCTTCTAGCTGCTACTGGGTTTTCTCATCCGATAGGCTAGATCTACACCTAGTTAGGCGTCTGATACCATTGATAGAGTTAAAGCAGGATCTCTAGGCATAAATCTAGCATGTCTACTTGCACTTTAATAAACTGTGAGTCCTAGAAGCATCTACTAGTACTGGATTAATAAATAGAGTGAGAAAGAGAGGGGTGAAGGGGGTGCAAACCATCGGGCGCCTTGGAGGAAGACGGGCTCGCCATCGCGGTGCTTGGTGAAGTCCTAGTGGCGATGTTGTGTCGAAGGACGGCGGTGCAGTGGCGGCATTGGCCGGTGGCGGTGCTTCCCGTCGCTGGCAGCGCCCCCTCTGTGATCGGTTAGGGTTTAGGACTGTAGGTGGGGTGCTAGGCGGCTCAGGCGAACCTCATACCTAGCGCCCCCGACCCCCACCTCCTATTTATGGCGCTGTATGACGGGGGGCCACTAACCATATTAGGGTTGGACGGTTGGGCCAATTGGTGGAGATCAACTGACAAAGTAGGGTTGGTGGAACTGGATATTTGAATTGATCCCTAGGCTGGTATATATAGAGTTCACATGGTTTGGGGATCAGATCTATATGAGATCGTAATCCTAGCTAACTCTATTGTAGTCATAATATACCCAAACGTCCCCTGCATTAACAGAGGGAGCACCGTAGACAATGAGATTGTGGAAGAAGCCGAAGGTGGAAGCCAACAATCGATACATCGTGCATGTTGTGGCTAAAGATGAAAACCAAAGAGTAGCTCATGCAAGACGATAGCTATTTGTGTCGATGTCGAGATAGCCGAGCGTGAGGTTGAAGTAGCCGTGGTCCAACATGTCAGTGCTAGAGATGGTCGGGTTGCTAATGTTGAGGCGCAAAAGAGTTGCCATGGTAATGACAGAGACGTCGAGGGAGTCGTCATGGAAGGGGGCGATGATGTGTCGGTCAAGGGCATCGAAGACGTGGTTGAAAATAGTGATGCGATCGAGACAGATGGGATTGGATAAGATGCACGTCTTCGTGAGAGCCGGGTATATCACACACCATCGGTTGATTAGACCGAATACGCGCGAGGCGGGATGACGATGGAAAAAAGTTGGCAGAGGCATTCCGATATGTGGTGGCAATGACTTACCTGTATGAATACGTGTGGATGGGATGACTGAGAAGCGATGCATGAAGGCGTCCCCTCGATACCGTGTGCCTAACCTGCTAGCTGTACGGTCGAGGAGGTAGAGGCTGGTGTAACCGACGTTGATGTCGAAGTAGATACATGCGAGGTCTATGAGCGGTGGACAACTCAACCCCCATCAATGATCGGGGAAAAAATAGATAGCGTCAGGTCAGATGGTGGTCGTGGGCTTAGGGGCAGCGTGACGACCGACCACCACGGTGCAATGCCCAACACCTCGAACAATGGTACGGTAACCCACCGAGATGAGGACGAGCACAAGGAGGTAGGCTCGATCCGCTACTTGACGACGATGACGATAGTGTCCGGATCAATAGGATCTGTCGTCTAAACAGTGGCGCTGCCACAGCAGAGATTGATCTCTCCGGGAGGGAGGGGGGGTGTGGAAGCGAGCGACAGCTAAGGTTAAGATTTGAATCTAGTCTCAGGACACCATTTAAGAAGAGTAGAATTGGTGCAATTAGATTGTTTGGATTGAGCCTCTAGAGCAGTATATATATAAATTTACATAACTTAGAGGTGAACCCAGTACATGGACCGTAATCACAATTAAGATCATCATATACTTATACACAAAGAACACATTTACTCTTGATTCTGAATTCTGTAATTGTTTTTTCTGTGTCTAGTTCTGAATCGGGAGTATCTTTCGGAGTCTTGTAGTAGTACAGATAAGATTTGCGTGATGTATCTCTAAAAATTCTGTTCATACCCTTGTTTAATGCATTCAGGATTTCTAATAACATTGGATGAACTAGAACCTCACTTTTGATATATGCCAATGTCAGTAGAGCTTCTGAGTCATTTTTTCTATTGATTTTCACGCGAGCAGCAGCCGCCGCCGCCAGGGCAACAAAAACTACAGAATGCACAAACACAACCAATAAGTAAGGGCCCCCTAAATCTGCAGGTACCGTGTACTTTGCAATAGCTCACCTTTTGTGGTTCCAAAAGCGAGATTTTCAGACGACGTTCCGATATACAGTGATGTGCGTGAACGTGAGTGGCCATGCTTATTAATTCGACCGGAGACTGCATCATTTACCCGAGGCCCGAACCATCATTGATCTAGCATGGGGACCAGCACTGGGTCGCACTATTGTGTCCGTCACTTGTCTACGTAGTCAAAAAGACTTTTTTTTTTTTGTAGAATCGGTACAGAAGAAAATAGAGTAGCTGCCATTTAAAAAAGAAAAGAAAAGAAAAGAAAAGAAACAAGCTCATTAGAAACTCCTTTGCTCAAATTCCTGTTTTCCACAATGTTAATTCTTGCACTTCATTTTATGCTCTGAATCTGAGGTGCACACTGTTCTGAGCTCAGATGAGCGAAGCAAATGTACTGGTTGCAGCAGGATTGTTCTGAATTCGGTAGAGCGAAGTAAATGCATTGGTGTAAGCTGGATGAGACGGTTTCAGTAACCGGGCATGACACGAGGCAGCGATGAAAGTTCAGAAAGAAAAATCGCTAGCAGCCAATCATCAATTAAAAAACGGAGAAGTTCAACAATTATCACCTAAATAATTTGACCCTTTTCTTTGGCATAAACAAGCGTACAGATGCTACCAAGAATGGGGCACGAGAGACTAGGAAAAAGTTAAAACACAGCGCAAACCTACTAAATGAGTTAACTATAAATTCAGTTGACCACAACCGACCTATTTGGATGTCCATCCGGGACCAACCCTTGCTGCAGGCAAGGCACATGGAACAAAACTGGTGGGATTAGACGTTCCGTCTACAAAATGTCCCAAGGGATCCAAAACATGCACTAGCCGTTCACGTCTACAAAATGTCCCAAAGGGATCCAAAACTAAACATTTAATACTACTCTATGCAAGCACTACTACTTAAAAAACTCAGTGGGGATGACATCTAAACAAGACGCTACTTAAAGTCAGTGGGAGGTGATTGTCACTCATCACCAAACCCAATCTCTGATAACTTGACCTGTGGCTTCCAGGTAAATATTTCTTATTGATCAAACCATACCCTCAGAAGAAAGCTTGATGCGTTGGTGATGCTCAGTCACTTTGTAGTCAACCACCTCCGAAAATAACTGGGGATCCAATATACAGTCAGGCCGGCCATAAACAGCAGCTTGCACACTAGCCACCAGCTTCGCAATCTCCCTGCCAGAGAAGCCATCGATCTTCCTTGCAGCTTCCCTGAGCAAATCGTCGCTTATGCCATTCACCTGAATCTTCCGCTGCTGCTTCTTGAATAATGCACCCCAAGAAGATCCTTTGCCCTCTTCCTTGAGTATATATTGGTTCAAGTATAGCTTGAGCAGTTGAAACCTCTCCTCCTCCCCAGGCAGGGGGAACTCTATGACTTCATCAATGCGGTCAGTGATAGCAGCATCAAGGTCACCCGGTCTGTTTGTTGCCAGGACAAGGACAATATCCCTGGATTGGTCGCCAGTTCGAAACAATAATGCATTGAGAGCACTCCGCTGAGCTTCGCTCATATGGGTACTGTTACGCCTGGTACATTGGTAAATAAAAACAAGTGATTAGAGATAGATGGAACCTGTGGAACTTCTTGTACTAGTGGTACCAACCCTTCAATGCAAACACATTTACAGCTTTATTATGATTTTTATATCAATGGGCTCGGATGCACTAGCTGAAGGGGAAGGGGATTTTTTCCAATACTGAATCATTCTTATCTTAATTCATATAGGAGAGGGATGAGCCCATATAGACTGGATGGTGAGAGTACGGGTGAGAACAGAAAACTGTATTGCTGCTGCAAGCCTGCAAGACCACACAATACAAATTAAGGTGCTGCTGGGCTCTGATTAAGCCAGGGTCAACTTAAGCTTTAATTGAACTAAAAAGCTGCAGGGCTTGTTAAACCAGGTTGAATTTATTTTAAGATTCAAAATTAGTTTAATTCAAGATCGATAACTAAGGTAACATTTAAGTGCTTGAGTTCAGTTTCATTCATATTCATACCAATCATAACATTACCTAGTAGCATCAGGCATATAATTTTAGATAACTTACTCACACAAGAATGCATCAGCTTCATCAATGAAAACCAGCATGCCTTTCTTGGACTTCTTAGCCCAGTCAAATATTTGATGGATCTTGGTAACAGCCTCTGATCCTAGGGGTGCAACATCTCCTCCCGTCATCATGGCATAATCCAGGCCCTGTCATGTCAGAGATGTAAGGGTGCGAGTGATACCAGGTGGCAGGTGCCCCATCAAACATTCAAACTGATTATACTAATACTAATTACCAAACTTGTGTCCCCCACTAGTCCCATTTCAAAAGAGGAAGAAGATAATCCAATTAGTTAACATAACAAAAATACAAAATCTAACAACTTCCATAGACCACCAGCATCTCTATTATCATTTTAAGTCTCAAAGTGACAAGGAAAAACAAGTCGTTTCAGGGGACTAGCGTGTTCCTATGGATGGAGGATGGTGCAAGAAAAAAATAGATCCACAAAACTTACAGATTTGCGAGCCATCTCCCTGGCTACTAAAGTTTTGCCAGTTCCAGGAGGTCCATAGAACAGCATGTTGCGGAATGGTGCACCGTGAGACTTTGTATTTGCAGTTGCTCGTGCAAGATGTTCAATCCTCCGCTTGAGTGAAGGGTGCAGAATAACATTCTCAAAGCCTGCTCCCCTCGACAAAGATGCTGAGCTAGGTTTGAGTAACCTAGACATTGGTAGTGGGAACTTTGGCATTGATGATTCACGGATCAGCGAAGGCTGACCCAAGATTCTATTGATGTAACTCCATGTAACCCTCGCACCTTCCCTGAAAAATGAAAATAGAAAACAATAAAACTTAGAAGTCTCTATTATTGTGTGTGAAAAGTAACAGGTACAGGTAGGATTTGTTAATGTTTTGTCTCTATGCACTCGAAAAAAATAATAGGGAGGCAAACCTAGTAGTATAAACTCCAGCAGCCAGTGCAGTAACTCCTCCAATACCCATTATTAGTTTGCTCCTATCAGTTAACAACGCTTTGAATCCACCTACAAGTACACATGAGAAACAAGGATCATAACCAGCGCAAATAAGAAATTAATATATTTTAGCATTATTTTAATACTAGAGTTGTTTATAAGAAGAATGGCTTTGATCCTTGTCTGTAATTCAGCATAAAATTACCAAATATGGTTTCAGAAAACATGATGCATAGTATTGACGAGACCAAAGTGCATATGCACTTGCAAATGACTACAAGACTTAAATACTAGCACTCTGTTCAACTAAGTGTGAAGAAACATTCAAAACTTTTTTTATTTCCTATACCAACTACTCCTTCTGTTCCAAATTGTAAGTTGTTCTAGATATTTTAGATATACATAGCTATGTATCTAGAAAAGCCAGAACGACTTACAGTTTGGAACAGAGGGAGTATTTAAAAAGTACAGGATCGGCAGACATGTATTTGTCCAACTAGACCAAGTTAGAGGTTTATCTCTTTTTTTATTGCCTGGGGCATTCTAGTGAGAGTGGTAGATTAACTTCATAAAAATTGCTAATGAAAAAGGCACTGAAACCTTCAATGTGCGAAAAGGTTGTATTTATTGCAGAGAGCCACTTTTCCTTTTCACCCTTCATACGTTCCAACATCATTCTTTTTGTAACTTCTTCTGATTGCTTCTCTTCATGAACGCGAGCTTGTGCTTCTGCTAAAGCTTTAACTCTGTTTATTTCCTGGTCTATTTCAGCCTTTTCCTTCTCAGTCCGTATCATTTCTTCCAAAATCTTCTGTTCTGTTGCACGCCTAGCTTCTTCTCTCCTGAGGGCAGATGCCTCTTGCATCTTCACAAGTTCAGCATCCTGTCGCCTCTGTGCAGCATGCTCTGTCTGCCAAAATGGATATGCTTGATTAAATTGTGTGTAAGCCACTAAGCCTCATAGCAGCACCAGCATTATAGGAGGTAGCTAAAAGAAATATAAAAAGAGAGTTTTCAATACCTGCATTCTTTTTCTAGCTAATTCATCCTCATAGCGTAATGCTTGAGCTTTTGCCTGAGCTTCTTGTTGCAAACTATTTCTGTAATCTTCAGCTTTTTTCTGCATCCTCTCCTGCAGATCAGATATTGAGGATCACTGGAGGAACATAAGTTGACTGCTGGAAATCCATACCAAAGAACCACAATAGTTGGATGCACATGCACGTCCATACAGAGAGATGGAGAAGTTGAAAAACTCTTAACACATCACCAAAGTTCTACAGTTCTAACTTTTCATGTTGATCAGTTGTCCCGTTGTCCGTTTTATATGCTGTGGACTTGTGGAGTTTTAAATTTGTAGTTACTTGCTATCCACAAAGGTCAGCCAGAGTTGTTTTGCACGTCCACTGTTTTGATGAAGCGTGACATCTCATTGTAAAGTTAATATGCTTTCTGATCCCAATTATAACGGTGACCCCAATCTTATGCAATTGATTTCCACAAAGTAAAGCGAGTAAGTTAGTCAGGCTGTTAGGCAAATAAGATAAGATTCAGTAGTTGAGAGGTTCGGGTCGCGTGAGCAACCAATCCCCAGACGCAGCCGACGTCCTGGCTGCACCATTAACATCATTTACATCAAGAAAGGGGATAAGGCGTCAGGAGCTCACCATGTCCCTGAGCCTCTCGTGGATGGCGTATTGGACCTTCTCGGCCTCCAGCTCAGTGAGGCGCGTCTCCTCCTGCTTCCGCATCAGCTCAAACACCTGCACCCGAGCAACAACATGAACAACACGTCAGGAGGGGCAGACCCCGTTAGGTGGCACAAAAGGGCGGGCACCTTGCCTGCTTGGCGAGCGGTGAGTTGTTGATCTGCCGCAGCGCTCGGGCCATGCGCTCCAGGGTCTCCGGGTCGCGGCCGAACGCGGAGGCTCCCAAATTGTCCTCGTCGCCTGGATTCGACGGCGGGGACTGGCGGCGGAAGAGGCCGTCGGCGTAGGCGACGTTGGTGAGCGATGCCATTGCAGCGGCCGCGCCGGCGACAGCCGACGCCGCCCTACCCGGCGAGCGCAGGCGGAGGCGGCGCAGCATGACGAAGGAGGCGTAGGGACCCAGGGTTTTTGGCGGTGCGTCGACTGGGGAAAAGAGACGCGAGGAGGAAGAACCGAAGAAGGGAGCTGCGCCGCGAAGGCCGAAGGGGTTTCTCCGCTAGCTTCTGACTAAACCCTCCGCTTTTCTTTCTTCTTTTCCAAGAGTCCAGCTTGACCTGGGCCTGCCGACAAAGCCGTTGGACACTGTCCTTCAGGAGTCAGGACCAGTTTAGGCCTTGCTTGGCAAGACTCAACACAGGCCCATCAACATGAGGCAATGCCGAAATGGGCCTTACCAAACCAGGCCTTATTATTACACGCTACAAATCCAAATACATTAACTCGCTTGCTTGGTCACTAGTAATTCAAGGATGTAATGGAGATACATTAACTCGGAAACTGTTTATCAACAAAAAAAAAAAAACTCGGAAACTTAGAAAAAAAAACTACTGTCTGAGAGCAAAGTTTGCATAAAATTTTAAAAATCTGGTTAACTTTCATTGACCTATGTTACAAATCGGAAGACGTGAGGGAGGAAACCAAGATGCAAGCAAGTAAAATAAACGAGTTGGAGCTGCAAGAGAAGGGGGGGCAATACATAAAGAATCATGTGCGGCTAGACGCTAAATCGAAGTTAATCCGCTACAGTAACCCTACAACATGGAGGAGTTAGTAGTCACATCTTCGTCGTCCAGGTCTGGATCATTCGGCCGTAGTCTCTTGCCATCTCGCCCAACAGGGCGCCCTCCCTTCTTCGGTTTGCCTCTGTTGAAAATACGCAGGGACTCAGAACTAAAGCATCAACACCATGAACCAAAGCTCATTTTGCAACAACTAAGACAAACTTCTTCACTCTAACAGCTCTAGTGTTTAGTGAACTTCATAAAATCGCTGCAGAAATTGTATCTGAAAACTTACTGCCCATTTGCAGGGGTGCTTCCACCCTTTGAACGACCTGCTCCATACTCCCTTCCATCTGCCAGGATTATACAAGTATTGAAAATTGAAATGTGCTTTTCTTTGGCACCTGAATTTAAATTTCAACCAAGAAGGAAATCAAAGAAAGCTTTACCATCTCGTCCAGCCAAATGTTCATCAACCTGTATGTGCATAGGAAAAGGGAGCAGAAATTAACAAACTCCAAACTTTGGAAAGCCATAGGAAAAGAATAATTTGAAGCCGTGTGCTATTCAGCAACATTTAGCAGTAATGCTCGTACCGCTGGAGAAGTAACTGATGATAGAGAGAATAACCTCTCGTCAGCCTGAAATTTCCGAGAGCGCTTAAGGCTGAAATCAGTCAGAAGCCATCATGAATGTTCTATGTGATCAGCATTACATGAACTGACTCTAAAATGCAAAATTGAAAAAAAAAAGGAACATTTTCCTCTACATAATAATCACATCCCACCATAATCTCAAATGGCCAATCATCACCATAGTCTAAATTATATTTCCAAATATAAAGCTCTCATGATGAGTTGCTGACCCTACACGCAGTGGGTAAAGGAACTGGCATGACAAGACATAACACAAGCATAAAAGGATTCCTTGCACCCAAATTTTCCTCCAATAGATAGAATAGATAGATTATACATGACCCATGCTGATATATAAAGTTCTAAGGACAGGTCTCAATCATACAGTTAATGCAATCAAGGAACAGAGACATTGAAATGTCAAAAAAAAATGATACTATATGCCAAAAATAATAATAAAGATCTTGAAATATTGAAGATTGCATCAGTTACTCAATAACAAAATAATGAAAACTTAGGTGTCTTACTTAGAGGTGTTTTTTGAGGATGACAAAAAAGATTCGAAACCCTTCAGCACACTTCCAAATTGATTAGACTCTTGTAGGTAGGTGGTCTCCATATCATAAACCTGGGGGTTGTCATTATCATTAGTTCAACAAAATTACTAAAAGCATGGAGAGTAAACTTTAAATTTCTTTGCTTGCTTAATCTTTGTTCATGTCTAAAGAACAAGTGATGTTTTTTCAGTTTTGCTAAAGACAATTGCCCATCTAAATATTACTGGTCTAACAAATAAGAGCACACTTTAAAGCGGAATTTTACAAATATTTGAACATAGTTGGAAGCTCCTCAGGTAAATAAGTTTCACTCTGTCAACTTTACTACACGCAGGTGACACTACAGATATTCTGCTGTCTCTAGAACATAGGATTAACAAGTGCTAATTTGGTTTTAAAAAAAAGGATCAACCACCAGTACTGTGCTTCCTTAGTTGAATTGAAAGGCTTCAAACAAGGGCAATATGTATCCCTCCCTTTTATGAAAAAAGAACATTACCCTCTTTGATATATCGGCTATTCAATTGATTCAATCATTTTGGACGAAAACATAAGATTCAAAACTAAAGCATGTTTTCTGTATTCTGAAACCCTTGATACAGCCATGTGAGAAAGCATACTGGAATACAGTTTAACTATAACTAATTCTTCTGGTCACCATATAAGTGGAATACATCATTTATTATTTTGTAGTTTGATAATCAGCAAATGCAGTTTTTTAGCATCAAGTGTTTCATATCACTTGAACTTAAGTGATTAGCAAAGCATATTAGGAAAGAGGGCATGTTAAGCGCATCAACAAAAATTCTTTTCACCAATCTAGATTCTTGATTTAATCCAACAGCAAACTTCGCTCACTGCGTCGGTACCTCCACCGAAATGAAGTCACAGTTTACTTCCATCCTCTCCAATGGAAACTATATTCTTTAGGATTGAAGGCTACGATGGCCCTGTGCATGTGCAATAATATCAGGGTTCAACGTAGTTGTTCTGAAACTTTGTTTTTTCACTAGGATTTGTATTGTTCTTGAGCCAATAAACGCGCATTTTCGACAAATTCTGGTTGCCACATACATCTGTGAGTCCAATTCTACGATCTCTCAGCGCCTCAAATCAAAATGTCGACCAACAATTCTCCAAGAGCGGGAGCAGGGTTTCATATCTTTGGCAACGGCAAGTCCAGTGAAGGACCCGAAGAAAGATCGCAGCTTTTGAACAACATACGCGCCCACCGACACAAACCCTAACCGAACAGGGATCCTGGAGGGACAGTGGGAGGTGGACAAGACCTAACCTGGCGCTCGATGGAGCGAAGCTCCTCCTGGAGCTTGGCGCGCTTGCTCATGAGCGCCGAGAGCATCGCCGTGGGGTTAGGCGCCGGCGGCGCCGGCGAGGGCGCGGAGCCCGAGGCTGCCTTGTGCGCGCCGCTCCCTCCTCCGCCTCCCGAATCCATGGCCACCGTTTCTAGGGTTTGAGTTAGCGTCCGGCTGTCCGGGATGTTGGGTTTTGGCTCGGATATTGTACAGTTACAGGCGGGTCGTCGTTGCCAATCGACCACGTCGCGCGCGAATCCTCGAGCGAGACCTCTCTTTTTTTAGAAGTAAAATTGCGTTGGAAATGTTCAGAGATTGGTACTAGATAGTAGATACAATGAATTTTTGGGAGGAACTTGCTCTTGTTAATTCTGTCTTTTTAACACTGAATTTTTTAGCCAAAAATGAAAATAAAAAGTTAGAGGTCATTTGTGCAAATTTACATGTGGTGTGGAGCGGCCAAATTGCATTTTCGAGGTAAAGAGAAATTATTAATTAGTCATTTACACAGTTATTGATGAGATCACAGATACACGCAGGCGCATGCCTCGGCTATACCATTGAGGCCACCCCTAACGTGCCACCGTGTCGTGCTGTCCTAACCTCCACATCAGCCTGCAACTACCACGCTAATGGATCAGTAGCCTCGCGGAGGGTCGTAGTGACTTGCAAAAGCGCCACAGCCTCATCTCACACTTTTGCAGAAGCCAACAGCGAAGCACACGTTGTAGAAACAGGGCACCTGTTTGTGAAGAGAGAGAGAGAGAGAGAGAGAGAGAGAGAATGATTTTCCTTTTTGGCGCTACAAAAGTTGTGATAAGCACGATGGTTGATAGGTGATAACCCTAAAACTGTTCGCTGCACAGGTGAGACGGTACTTTTTGCCAAGGCTAACATGCCCGTGTTGGTGATGTCATGAATGGGTGTTTCCCTTAGCTACAAGAGCCAAATCATTTTTATATGATTGCATCCTCTCTTTGCCTAGATCAACATCCACAACAAAGGAAATTTCTTTGCTTCTACGATCATAAAGTCAATTTTCAATCGATCCGTGCCCAAGACTCTGCATCACTTGAACCATCCTTGACTAGCCCTGGAGCATGATGTCTCCTTTGAAATCATGATCGGTCACTCCAACACCAACCTCACCCATACTTGCCATGGAAGAGACATCAATGTTCACCTTGATCCATCCATTGGGTGTCGAGGGCAGTGTGCGGAAGCTTGTTGTGGGCTTGTGCTATGTTTGGCTTCTATGGATGATTGAAACAAAACATACAGTTTTTTCTTGTAGTATATAGTAACATCTTCTTGTTATCGGGTGTTCGACAGGGTCTCCCGGTGGTTTAGGAGAGAATGGATCGATTCAGTAATTAATGTGGTACCTAATTAATGGGTTTATGTTGTTGTGAACTGATCATGCTCTCCATAAGAGGCAGCACATGAGTCTTTTGACTTGGAAAGCATTTGTTCAAATGTAGTAGCAATCAGTTCGAGCCTATGGGACAAACTATTCCTCATTTAGTAAATCCTAATAATGATGTCATATAGTGGTACTTATTGCTTTACAATACTTAATTAACAAAATAAAGTGATATGTTGGATTATGCAAATAATAACTAAATACAAAGTAGAAAGACGGCCTTACTGTTACAGATTGTTGATGGTAATTAACAAACATTATAAACTGTCAATGTAACATGCATAAGGGCATGAATATAATCACCAACAAAGGTTTAGGGGTTTAAACTAACAAATTCCACGAGTTTTGGTGAATCTGTATTTTCTGGAGGGTTTATCCAGAAAACCGTTATGGTGGACCTAGATATCAGATTTAATCGCGATTATCCACGGGATAAACAACACTAGAAGGTTCTAGAAGACTCCAGAGGACACCACACCGAAACGGAGGGCAAGAGGCCGCCAGGTGGGGCCGGCCGGTCCCACCCTCAGACTGGCCGGTCTAGGGCCCCACCTGTCAGCCTCCACCTCGCTACGTTGGTTCTCCACCGTCTTAAGGATTGCATCCACGCCATTTATTCAAGTCGGTTTGATTCGAGGGCTCAGGATTGACGCTCCGGCCTATATATTATATATACCAGCCCCTGTCACCCCCCGAGGCATAAGTCATTTGAGAAGATAGAAACCATAATCATCCTAAGAGCTCCATATTCTAGGGCATAGCTAGCTAGGCTAGAGCAAGCTTCGCTTGAATTTTTGATCGTGTCAAGAGTGTGGCTTGGTATAGCTTTTGTACCCCTCTCTTTTGAATCTCTCATTACTTTTATATGCTTGCTACAATTATTATGACATTGTTCTTAATATCATTCATGTTCCTAGTTATAATGTTCATCATCTACTTTGATTATATACTTAGTATAGTTAGATTATCATCATATTCAAGCATAAGTTCGTATAGCGCTCACTCTAAGGTATCATGGGTGAGTGGTCGACATTGTGTAAGCGTGGTGCTTATACGTTGTTTACCTGCGGATGCACCCTATATTTCGAGCCATGTGGTAGATCGCGGATGTGACACTCCCGTTGAGTCCTTTGTAGTCCACTCTCCAAATATAGGACAAGTAGGATCTAGTTACGAAGAAAGACAAATTCTTTTCTTAATCTTTCTTAGTAATATCCCTTATGTGTAAATATGAAGCTGATCTTAACATGATTACTAAGTATAATTGCACTAATCAACGTATGCTTTGACTTATAATTAAGAATGATTTAGGAATTATTCCTCTAATATTCTACTTAGCCATGCTAATGCTAAAGAAAGAAGTACTCTAAGTAATTAATTATCATTTATCATTACTTATCATATACATTTATCTCTTGACTTATCCCTATTATGAGTAGAAGTTTGGTTATGTTTTATTTCTCCATCATACATATAAGTTGTAGGGGACCGTAACGCCTAAGAGGGGGGGGTGAATTAGGCAACTTAAAATTCTAACTCTAAACTATGGTCTCTTTTTCTAACCTTAGCAAAACCTATGTAAAAGATAAACCACCTTAAATGTGCAAATACGGTTTTGTTAATGTGTTGCTATCTCTACCGTAAAAGGAGTAATACAAACAATGTAAATGCGAAAACTGAGCAAGGTAGAGATATGCAAACTCCATCGACGACTCTGGTATTTTTACCGAGGTATCGAGAAGCATGCAAGCTTCCCCCTAGTCCTCGTTGGAGCCCCTCGCAAGGAATCTCTCGCAAGAGCCAAGCTCCCGGTCGGATAACTCCGTGGATAGCCTCGGGCCTTCCACACGCGCAAGACTACAAGCCCCTCCGATGTACAACAATGGTGCGCGCAAGCACCGAGTGATAAAGAGGTATGCAAACCTCACTAAACACTAGGTCTAAATCTAGAACAAGCGCATAAGCGGTGGTCTAATCAACCTAAGCACTTCGAAAAGCACCTACGCTAATCACCTAATGAATCACTAAGCACTATGTAAGTGGAGATCACTAAAATGGTGTATCAACACCCTTGATATGTTTCCTTAGCTCCACTATCATCAAATGGTCAGTTGGGGGTCTATTTATAAGCCCCACTGAGAAAGTAGCCGTTGGGGATGAAATCCCGCTTTTCTGCTACTGACCGGACGCTCAGGTCGTCCTGATCGGACGCGTCCGGTCGTCCCGACCGTTGAAGCCGCGATCCACTGATCGGACGCTGCCAGCGTCTGGTCACATGCCACCAGACGCGTCCGGTCGTAATTTCGTTGCTCTGGAACCTTTCTGTACTCGATCGGACGTTGCAGTTCTGAGTCCGGTCGATTTGCCGCCAGCGTCCGGTCCAGCGTCCGATCGCGCCTGTTGCCAAGCCTCTTGATCGGAGCGTCTAGTCACTTTTCTCCAGCGTCCGGTCCAGCGTCCGGTCATCTCTGTGAGCTCGTTTCTTTGCGATCTTACGTACGGCTTAGTTTCTATCTTCGTGCGTGGACTTTGCTTGATATCTTGGGTCTTCTCTTGTGCTCTTAGGGTCTTGCTTATGGTGTTGATCATCGGATCATCACGTCGCCTTCGTCCAAGTTACGTCTTGCATCCTATTGAACTACAGAATAATCACTTGCAACTTTATTAGTCCAATTTGGTTGTGTTGATCATCAAACACTAAAATCCAAAGTAAATGGGTCAAGGGTCCATTTTCCTTACATAAGTTATCAATATATTCCAACTATCCGTCCTTCCCTGTGGTAAAAATATAAATAACGATACCTGGAATACTCTCGGGTGAAGTGCTAAAATGGTATATTATCTGTGCGCTTGCATATTCCCTTCCATTCATATATATATTATTCTTTTAAGTCACAAGTAAATACCAACATGCATTTCTGACGTCGTTGCTAAAGATTAAATTTAAAACCTTGTTCTTAGCAGCGATGTTAAGAAATGACAACATAGATGCAACTTAAGAATTTCTTTCTAGAAAGTTATATCAAATAGTAAGTTATACAGAGTGTTATGTTTCTAAACTCTTAAAAGCGTAATCAAAGAGCTATCTCTTTAAGCTTATCTCGATATCCCCTTGCCCGGATATCTTAAATAATCATAAGACCACAAGCTTCCTTCTTTACCGTGAAGATAAAGAGGAGTCCACCATCTATCTCTTTGCACTCTTCACTCACTGCCATCTTGTTCATCCATGGCAAAACCTTTTAAGGTTTATGGTTTTTTGTGTCGTTGGGTTTAGTATGATCTTTCATCCAGACTAAAGGAAGGCTGATTCGATGGTGGTTGTGCTTATAGGGTAGGGCAGGGAGCATCACCGGCTAGGTAGGTGGCAGTGGTTAGCACCGAGAAGACAGAGAACGGTAAGGATAGGGGTATGTGGGGCGGCGATAGAAGGTGACGATGATAGTGTTGATAGCGCAAGAGGCAGGGGCCGCTGGGTAGGTAGAATGGGGGCAACAATCAGGCTTAAGGAGAAGAAGGTGTGGAGGGGATGTACCTGGTTTACACTAAAAAAGAGTGCTCCAATGTAGAAATTATATACTAAATTTTAGATTCAAATTGTATTTGTCTAGAAACTTGCATTGCATAACGCACACCCTTTGGCTCCACTACCCCTCTTATCCAGCTATCACCCTCGGATCGCTCCAACTGGGACCTTTATCTAAGGGAGTAAGGCCTTGACCACCCAATCCTAGAATATAATGTTTATCCCTAATTTGTTGATAAGCGCATCAATGGAGACCATAAATGGTGACAAACAAAGGTGTGTGACTTGTGACAAAAGATTGTAACCATTTTTTTCTAAACAAATAGGTATATAGCCTAGTTTTGTCCTAATTTAACATCTACCACATCAAAAGGAGTACAATAATAGTATTTCATAATGGATCCGGTAATACTAAATTGATATCACAATTTTGTAATTATATTCTATTATTAGATTGGTCAAACCAAACCATTTAACTTAGGACAAACTAATGGTTATATTTTAGGAGCAAAGGAGTACAAAATTTCCCTAAAAATATGGGAATCGAACCTTGCCTAATCTCGCACACCAAGCTGGCAGTCCAACAATTGCAAGTTGAGCGTAGTCGGACAAACTTGAGCAACATAAACAGAAAACGATGCCTAACCCAAATTCATGATATTCATGTTCAGGATAAGGTTTCTTTCATCAATCATGGAGGCAATGTCTGTCTCTCCGAATGCTCCAATGTAGTATTCCCTATTCATTTTTCCTGTCTTCAGAGACTGTAGCAAGTGGATATGCACACAACACAACCTCACGTATTGCCTTTTGCGATATTAGTCGCTACGCTGACCACCTCGCGATCTCTCATTGCCTTTTTTTGGTTCAGTAGGTCCAAATCGGTCGATTACCAACATATTTTATCGCTACGCTGACAAACCTCCAAAGACCAATCTCTCATTTGTAGTGCATTGGACCACCTGCCAAAGTGCCAATGATCTCAACCTGGTCGGCCGTGACATGCCAACCATTCTGGAACACGTCAATGTAAAGATTTTTCCTTCGATGTTCATGCCTCTTTGCAGTCGTGACTGATTAATTCTCATTAGGCTACTGATTCTGTGGTCTCGCACTGTATTCCTCCGTAAAAAAAATACAATTCTAATATAACACAGTATTGTGTCAAAACATTTTTAGTTTGACTAAGTTTATATAAAAGAATTATCAATATTTATGATACTAAATCAGTGTTATTAAATTTCGTGATAAGATATATTTATATAGTATGTCTATTTGTGTTATAAACATTGATATTGTTGTTATAAGCTTAGTTAAACTTAAAAATGCTTGAGTAGAGATAGAGCTAGAATTTCGTCTTGTTTGGGGACGGAGCTAGTATCATTGAAAAGTATATGCATTAGATGAAACTTTGATCAAAGTTTGGCGCATCTTCAGTGTCTCGTAGCTGCCAAAGGATCATGTGGGTCTCTGTTGCCGCTGCTCAAGGAGTCAGGACCAGCCTGCACAGTTTGATGCCCTGGTCAGTTATCCTTTTTGCGGATCGTCCAGTCACTTGTCCAAGATGACCAGTTTTTCCTTATCATACAGCTCTTGAGTACTTGGCCCTGAGTCTGGAGCTATAGCCAAAGCCTGTCCGCGTTATCACGTCAGTCAGCAGAATCAGCAAATATTGGCGACAAACGGAACGCGTGTCGCTTCATGAATCAACCAACATCACAGCACAGGCAACAGGCATGCCTGAATTGGAGGATTGGAGCAAACGACAGTTACCACACACAAGGGACCACAGATTTATTATTTCACCATAGCATAGCACAACGCTACCAGGTAGCAGAATACAGCAAACCAGACATACACTTGGATGGAAGCCACGAAATAACACTTGGATGGAAGCCACGAAATAGCATAGTTAACATCTTTAGAGAGGGCACCAATCATGTTATTTGTTTTCTTGACCGATTGCTGCTTCACGCTCAAGAGATATGAGCTCTTCCAAGATCACATTCACTGCGGTTTGGGGTGCCTCATCCTGAAATAAGAAACAACAATGGGTCACTGTTATCCTTGGCCGAATATTGGAAAGATGTTAAAGCTAAATTTGGTATGCACCCTCATGCGACACAACAGAAAAACCCACTAGTGAAAAGAGCTTGCACCTGTAACCTGTCATAAACCGAACACCTTTAAGGTAGTAGGGTTCTGTACTGCTTTAGATGCAAAACTTTACGAAATATGCACAAAGTTAATAGGCATGGGGACTGGGAGGAAAAGGCTACTTCTAAAAAAAGAATACTTTGGATTGGCATTCTAAAATTGCCTATTTGTTTCGCAGAGAAATATTGATTTGGGTGCTCAGCTTTACAGAAGTTTAGTGGTAGCAGCACAAACTACTAATGGTTATTGCTTGCAGAAAAGAATTTCCAGGCCAGCACTAAGGTGATCAGGTAGTATTTTAGATCGGCAGCTGCAGAGGTGTACTGGAGGCTATCCAATATTTCCCAAGATAACTAATGTATAAACTAAAACTAAATTGGAGCAGATAACAGCTATAGTTATCCACTTCAAATGAATGATGTTGTCAACCAGGATTTAGCTGCACTTGTCATTTATAGTGTATCCTCCATTTGCTTGAATTTGCAAGTTGCCAAGCCAACCTGGTGATCGACAGCTAAATAATGGAGAAAGGAACAAATGGTAAACTCCAATTAAAATAAAGTCTAAATCACAAAGGACAACCAGAAGAAAGAGCAAAAAATCACATCACAAGTTGTAAATAATCCTTAATACGTCAACTGCAGTATAGCCTATATAGGCAAGTTCATAAAAAGAAGGGAAACTCTTTTCAAAAAAAAAAGAGAAGGAAAACATGCATATTTTTGCTTTTCCATGGATTTCTGATTAGCAAACTAATAACCACATAAATAAACGTTAAGAAATTAGTTAATGCAGCAAATCTTAAGAACCATGGTTTTGACTTAAACTTTTGGAAAGCATATGACAATGATAGTCAAGACTGGGCCCATGCATACACACAATTTAAAAGGTGAGTAAAGGGGGGAACAGAAGGAACAAGCTAGAAAAAGGCAAGTTGAAGGTTAGAGGGAGAAAGATAATCTAGGTGGACAATGGAACAAAGAAAGTAATGACCATTAAGCCAACAACAGTTTCAAACTCAACTGTCTGCATCAAGAAAACAAAAGCAACACTTCTACTGCACGTGTGCCAAAGGCTAGCATGCTAAACAGCATAGTAAGAAAATATGCGATGCGATGCAATGCCATGATGCATAGATGGAGCAGAGATGTAGAGAGCAATGTGTTACTCTACTCTACTACCTCTTGTCACCATTGTTCCCGCCACAAGAATTGCTGCTGCTTCCACTACCACCGGAGCTGCTGGAGTGGGATCCTTGACTGACTTCTCCAGATTCAATTTGCCGCACATCCTTCTTCAGCCATTTGTAGTGCCTCTTCACATCCTCAGCGGTCTTTCCACAACCAACTGCTCGTGCAACATTGTGCCAGCGGTCTGGTGTGTCCTTGTCATATATTGCCAGCGCACTCTCGAAAAGCTTGTTTTGACTGTCGGTCCAGGACGAACTCATTATTTTTCCTCCCTCTTGTTCTCTTTACTCAGCAAGAGAAAACACCTAAGAGAGATGCAGGGCAAGCAATGGCTGCTGCTTGTGTCTGTTTGGATCAAAGAGTGAGGGCAACGGTGCTCTTTATATAGAGGGAGCATCGAATAATACCCAGTAGAGGTGGGGGTGAATTATATCAACAGTACAGAACAAGTTGACAAGTCTATATAGGAGGAAGCCGTATGAGAAAGAGCATGAAGTGTCATTGCTCCATTAATTCCTTATGTATTACAACTTGTTGGGAGGAATAACCAGAACCTCAGGTTTGCTGGGGAAGATGACGAACTTTTTATTTCTTTTCTTCGCGTCCAATCTTCATAAAGATTCTCTTGTGCAGTCCATAAGAGGTGGGTCAGTCTTCATTATTACCTTCAGTTCTCTTTCTTTCATATTGATCAGAACCTTTTAACTAATATGATACCAAACTCAGTAGCAGTTAACAGACATTAACATATGCCTATGTGGCCTTTCCTTAATTAGAGAAAGAGGAGCTTTTATTGGGCCAGAAAGGATAGGGTTACTTATTCAAAGCATTTACAAAAACTGATGGACAGAGAAGAAACATATGAAAAAATGGATATAACATTCTCTGCTCAACGGATAAATTGGGCCCAATAATTCGATATCCATCTCAATCATCAGCCCCCTTCAGTATTATGGTGACAAATTGGATATTTTATTCAGAAATGTATCGCCAGAAAGAACTTTATTGGACACAGGCCTCAAGAGAACATGAAGTCTAGAATTCTAGCCTTCTGAGATCTAAACAACACTACTCTTCATGAAAAAACTAACCAAAATTTAAGAATATAGCACGTATCATTTTTTTCAAATGGTTAAACCCTTCTAGTTTCTTCAAAATGTTTGCTGTTACATATTTATTCTGTAAGTTGAGCACAACATTTGGTTGAACTTGTATACAGACTACAGTGAAGTTGCACTGTCTCTTGATCTTCATTATTATGTAGAATAATTCTCTCAAAAATAACATTATTCCAGAATTTGTATCTCAACAAAATTATTAATAAATGTTTCTGGCTTAAACTTACCTTAAATTATTGATATTTCAGTACCAAACCAAATACAAAGAGGCTACATGGCATGGCAGTAACTCCTGTAGTGTTTGAGTTGGACAGTATAAGTTCAAATGTAGTCACTTACAATTACACTTCAAACAAAAAGCAAATAAAGAAAAGATGATTCAACAATGACATGATTAGAAGACACAATGGGGCTATTTTGTGTTACCTTGATAGCAATGGATGTATCTTTACTGGTACAGGTAGAAACATCACTCTTCTTTCAGATTTTGATATTGCCTATATACTGAAACAGCACTAAGAAAAAGATGCTTCAACAAGGCAATTAGCATTTAGTAAAAAGTAACAATTCTTTGTAGGAATCATAGAAACATTTGTTTGTCCTATCCTCATTTCGAAAGAGAAACTTGTGTATTTCTCCAAATTGATCTCGTGATTTATCAATTAAGAACATAGTGCTACAGAATATGCGTCTTTGCCAGCATCCACACGATTTGACTGTGAACACATCTGGAGCTTTAGAAAGGGATCTGTGATGAAAAAAAACAACTATTGAGTAATCATGACAGTAGAGAGTTCATGCCTAGATTTTCCCCTGAATGTACGGAATGCTAGTACTGCTTTACATCAGTCACGTCAGAACAAAACTAAAGGACATTGAACATTTGCAGATAGCCCACTCATCATTTTGACAGGCCTTGTTGGGGTGGTGCTGGGAGCAAGCCCCACCACGAAAAATTGTAGGATCCTCAATCAACTTGAATTTAGTTTTACAAGTCTAGTTTTTAGGAAAAAAAATTGGCTCAATTATTCATTTGACTCTTTATTGTACCGTACCTCTAACAAGCGAAAGCAACTGAATTTTGCTATTTCAATCTCAGGAAGACGGTATTGGGTTCCAATTATTTTGTATTACTTACAAAAGTTAGAAAATATACTGCTCCTTGTTTCTATGTGTCCGTCAAATTTTGTTTTAACTGAAAACACAAGGTTCACCACACCATCATCCTGCGCAATAATATGAACAGAAAAAAACAATATAAAATGGATACAAACATCAAAAGCTATGGTCAAACGAACCTAATGCAAAAGGCAGCAACGACTTTAAACATCAAAAGTTATGGTCAAATGAACTTAACCAAAAGGCAGCAGTGTTTGGATGCAAAGAGAAGGATCTGTGGGATGATCTACTGGAGGAATGGTATATCCTAATTTTCTGATACTCTCGAAAAGACTGAATAGACAGATTTCTCCAAACAAGTGTGCATTTCTCGAGGAATAAACATGGAATATTTGTGACGGTGATGTCATAATAATAGAAGAATCATCTAATATTGCATCTGAAAGATTGGATTCTCAACGCGGATGTGAACTTTTAAAGGCAGGGAACCTCACAGGAAAAAGAAAGTTGATAAATGATCTGTGGCCTAGGAGGTAAAGAATGATGCCCAGATAAGATGTGATGAAACCACTGTGGGACGAGGTGACGAAATAATAGATAGAAAAGGAATAAGATCCAGCAGATCTTCGGAACCCGATGTTCCACTTACAGAATACAATACAAGTGGACCAACTTTTTCAGACAGGAAATTGAATTGGCATATGGCTTGGACAATGACGGTGGAATGAAGCAACGCTGCTACAGTCTTGTTCACTCCGTGCGAATCCTAAGATGCGAAGTTTGCAAGATCACCCCACCAGAGTCTAAGACCTTCATCTTCGTGCACGGCAAGATGCCAAGATCACCGGTGATGTAATAACACCTTGCAGCGAAGGCATTTCTGCTAAAAAATGGGTGGCGATCACCGATCATGCCATCGCCACTCCTAGTGTGGCATTGTCCAAGAGGCATTCACGCAAACGCCTGGCCTACGCGCGGGTCGCGTAAGAGCGACGGGGTGCGCGCTCACCTCACATTCAAAGCAGCCAGACAGTCACCTTGAGCGGCCGAAGGAGATCCACGGCGCCTGTGGACAGGAGCTCGCTGGGCGTTGAGCGCCCCACGGCCCCACCCGCGGCCCCCACCCCACGCTATGCGCCGGAGTAGACCAGTAGACACTGCCACACTGGACAGCCCAGCCTCTGGCTCAGGCAGAGCCGCAGAGGCAGCCGAGGTTGCGCGGCCTTCGCGGGGGCAGCCGAGAGGGGTTTGTCGGGCCGTATGCAATTGTGGTCCGTGAGGGGGAGAGGACAGAAGATGCGCCCCAGACTGTTTATTCCATGACCACTTATCCGGTAATCCCGCGTGTACGTACGCGGCCTTGTGGGTGGGCCTGTCAAATCGACGACGCGATGGGCGGGCCGTGGCCCATCGCAAGGACGTGGGCTCGGCTGGCTCAGTCTGATACAAACTGTACGGCACGGCCCATTTGTAACTGTACCATCTCGCGTCTGTGGACGGCACATCTGTCTTGCAGCGCTCCACTCAAAAAAAAAAAAAAACTGTCTTGCAGCGCACACGCAAGGTTCGCGCGGAGTGAAGACTGAAGTTGCACTAGCCTTGGCCTGAGCTGGCAGCCTGGCAGCGCGACTGAAGTGCCACGTCCTCGAACGTGACAGAGTCGCAGCCTGACAGAGTTGTTGGAGCCTTCCCGCTTGCTCATCCAGACGGACGGATCGCAGTCGCAGCACACTGCACACCCCTCTGACGCTGAGGCCCCGACACCCCGATCACGTAGTAATATACTATACTTTTCTTTATGACTCAGGCGGCATATGTACAGGAGGTCAACGGTCGAGGTTTGCCTGCCCGCGGCAGCGACGTCGCCGCCTGCGCGTACCCGGTCGCTGATCGGCTGATCATGATGAGGTCGACGGCCGGCCTCTGCTTTGAACGCAGCTGCGTCCTCTCTCGCGCGGGGGTCGTGGTCGTCGTGATCGTCGAGTCTGTGTGCCGAGTGCTGGACACATCCAATCACTGAGGCACCCTGCGCTTCTCTGATTGCCCGTTTGGCCCCGTCGTCGCTGCTACGCGCCACAGGAGACCACAGGAGACCAGACACGCGCTCGTGCAACACCGGCGGCTCAGAGCACGTACTATTCCATCTCAAAACGTGGCACGGTGGCAGTGAATGGCATCGTGGAACTGGAAGCCTGGAACGGGAGAAAAAAAAAGCGGGGTGAATCCGGGAACTGATTGGCGCCGGCGACTCGCCGATGATTCGCCATGGCCCGCACGGGGGGCGCACGGCTCGGTGGTCCCCGTCTCCCCGTTGCCATCTCTCGCGCGGCCGCGTTCACGTGCGGCGGAGTGGGCGTCCACGCCGTGCCGCATATGGTCTTCGATCTACAACACTGCAGCCGCGTGCCATCACAATTCGTAAACGAGACATGTGCTCATCAGGATCGGATCGACTACTAATAGAAAAAAAAAGAAGATCGATACGTGTCCGTGGACACTAAAAAGAACGTGCCACACAGAATGCACAGAGCACCACTACCGGGGGTAACTGTCGAGACAGAATCATCGTGTCCACCTGCCAACAACCACCGCCCCATGTCCGCGACGGTTGCTCCGCGACACGTCGAAATACACAAACATTCCCCGACGTGCCGGGTCTGTACGGAATGCGCAGAGTCTCATCATGGCGTCGGAGGAAACGAACGGGGAGCCTTCTCGCACACCAGACTTTAGTACCGTGGCCACGTCTCGAAGCCCAACAGAGAACCGACCACACACTCGCTCGTCCGATCATGCACAAAATGCCAGTGCGCGGCACCGGTAGGTAAGGGTGTAAGCCCCATGCCTTTTCTGTCATGTATAGTAAACTTCGTATAGCTCCTAGAATCCGCGCAAGGAGAACGCCAGTGCAGATCCGCCACGTTGTGTTGCTCCGACCGAAATGCGGTCTTAATTTCTTGGTCTACTCAGTTTTTTTTTATTTTGAGCAAATCTTGGTCTACTCAGTTGAGGGCTGACCCAAG